TGGCTGTACAAATCTACACAACCACCAGCAGTGGAGGAGGGTTCCTATTTCACCACACCCCCTCCAACACTTGTTGTTTTCTGATTTTCTGATTTGGGCTAGCCTCAGGGTTGTTAGGGGGTATCTCAGGGTTGTTTTAATTTGCATTTCTCTTATGGCTAATGAATGGGAACACTTTCTCATAGGCTTGTGGGCCATCTGGGTCTCCTCCCAAGTGAAAGTTCTTCTCAATTCTTTTGCTGTTTTCCTCGTTGCAGGCCATGAGGGTGTTGTAGATTTTAGTAATGAGCCCTTTGTCCGATGTCTTATTACTAAAGATCCTCTCCCACTCTGTGGGTTGTCTTGTCATTCTCTTGGTGAAGTCTTTCAAGGCACGCAGGTATTTTATTCTTATTAAATCTCATTTGTTGATTTCCAGTTCACCTGTTCCTTATTACAGTGAGCCTGTGAATTCCCTGGGCCAATGATCTTAGCTTTGTCCCGATTCCCTCCTTGATGGTCCTGATGGTTTGTGGTTTTACTTCTAGGTCTGTAATCCACCTTGAGTTTATTCTTGTGCATGGGGTGAGGTAAACGTCTTGTTTCATTTTTGTACATGTCGCTATCCATTGTTTCCAGCACCACTTGTTAAAAAGGGCATCCACTTCCCACTTGATGGTTTTGAGACCCTTGTTGAAGATCAGTTGTCTATATGCTGATGGTTTTATTCCTGGACTTTCTATTCTTTTCCACTGGTCTGAGTATCTGTCATTGTGCTAGTACCATGGTGTTTTGACCATTGTAGCTGTGTCATAGGTATTAAAATTGGGTAAGGTGAGTCCTCCGACTTTGTCCTTCTTCTTGAGGACTTCTCTGCTAATTCTGGGCTCCTTCCCTCTCCATATGAAATTGGTGATCGGTTTTTCCAATTCTTTGAAAAAGGTTCTTGGTATTTGAATCGGAATAGCATTAATCTTATAAAGTGCTTTGGGTAAGATTGGCATCTTTACTATGTTGAGCCTTCCAATTCACGAGCATGGGATGTTCTTCCATTTGTGGAGGTCGCTTTTGGTTTCCTGTAGTCGGGTCTTGTAGTTTTTCTTGTATAGGTCTTAAGGTTTTTTTGTTAAATATATTCCTAGGTATTTCAGTTTGTTCTTGGCTACTATGAAGGGTACTTCCTTCTTGATCTCCTCTTCCATGGTCCTGTCCGATGTGTATAGCAAACATACCGACTTCTGTTTGTTAATCTTGTATCTTGCCACTCTTCCATATTCCTCTATCGCTGTAAGTACTCCCGTTGTGGAGATTTTAGGGTTTTCAATGTACAGGATCATGTTGTCTGCATATAGCAATAGTTTCACCTCCTCCTCTCCCATTTGGATCCCTTTGATGTCCTTCTGCTGTCTTATGTTATTAGTTAAACCTCCAGTACGATATCGAATAGAAATGGGGACAAGGGACATCCTTGTCTTGTACCCTCTTTTCAGTGCGATTGTTTTTGTCTTTTCTCCATTAACTATGATGTTGGCTGTTGGCTTTACATAGATAGCTTTTATCAGCTTGAGGAATTTACCTTCCATTCCTATCTTAGTGAGTGTCTTAATTAGTAAT